ATGCCACCATGCCCGGCTAATTTTTTGTATTTTTAGTAGAGATGGAGTTTTACCATATTAGCCAGAACGGTCTCGATCTCCTGACCTTGTGATCCACCCACCTCGGCCTCCCAAAGTGCTGAGATTATAGGCGTGAGTCACTGTGCCTGGCCTGTAAGTGGTGGTGTTCCTTTTTTAAAAAAGTTGACATGAAAGTCACATAAAATAAAGCCATTTTACCACGTATAATTCAGTGGCAGTTGGTATATTCGTAATACTAAACACAACCACCACCACCTCCATTCAGTTCCGCAAAATTTTCAGTTGGTGGCAGTTCCTAAGGGAAGATTTCCAGGCCAGGGGTCAGCTGCAGAGTTCTTGAAGCCAGGTTCATGGCGGGGACCACTGGCTGCAGGTCTGCTGGGTGGCAGGTACTGGGCTGGCAGCCTTTTGTGAACTGTCATGCGGGAGGCACCGACTGGTGTTACATGAATGATGAACACGAGGCTGGCAATGCCAGCACCTTCATAAACCGTCTTCAGGAAAGAAAAGCACTGGCCATCCTCTTAAACACGTGACCTGTTTTTTGTTCTCTGCGTCTTCCTAGATGCCATTCTCACGCAGACCGGTTCAACCACGTGCACATAGGCAATGGTGTGCCCTGTTTCTTGCAGACAACGTTTTATTACGCACATCGCTCTGGCTGGTCTATACTGTGACTCCATGGAGGACTGTGTGATAAGACAGGCCGTGCTGAGCATTTTAAGGGTGAGATCCTGTTTTGATGCAGGGCACTACCCAAGTCCCCCTCTCCTGCGTGTGTCCAATGTGGAGTATGCATACACTTGCTGGCCTCCGCAGCTGTCCTGCCAGCCTTGGCACACCTGCCGGCTGGTGGTCCTGGCACTTGGGTACAGTGCTGCCAGGTGTCTATTACCTATCGGGAATGTGAGACAGAGTCAGCATGCAGAGCTTGTTATTCCACGTGATGTCACGCTGTCCTGCAAGGCAGGCTCTCTCCTCATGGCTGTGCCCAGGAAACAGCTGAGGCTCAGGGAGGGCGGGCGACGCCTCACTTGCTACACAGCTATTTGTAAGCCGGGCCGATTCCAGGCACTGGGATACCATGGTGGACATGATGGGCGTGGTCCCCGCCTTAGGGTACCCGAAAGACGCTAAAGCGCATGCTAAACCCAGTCTGCTGGAGGCAGGAGGAGGGCAGTCTCTGTGGGGCTGGACAGGGCCCTCTTCTAGCCAGGCTGGCCCAACCAGCTCTAAGACTGTGTCTCTGAGACCTTGGCTTTGCAACTGGCCCAACCTGAGTTCCACCCTAAGGTCCTGAGCCAGACGGATGCCAAGGTGGCACAGGACACATGCCAGGTGACCGAGGCAGAGGATGGCTGCTTTACCCCCAGATCAGCCTGGAGGGGTGGAGGAGGGCTCCCGTGACAGGGCTGAAAGGCAGGGTCATCCATTCTGCCAAGGTTTATTGAGTGTGGTGGCTTCTTTGTACCACACCCCCGCCCTTGGGGGTTCCACACTCACAGAGCCACCTGGGAAGAACAAAGCAGGCTGAACAAGCGACCCTCTGGGCAGAGGGCCATGCCCTGCTTTGGAGGGTTTTGGGGCAGGGGTGAGTCCAGTCAGTCAGTGTTAACCTACAGAACCTGCTCCTTCACCACAGGTCACCTCTCAGCAAGCCCCAGTCACACAGGCCAGAGGATTAGTGTCATTTCTCTCCCCGCCCACATCTAAAGGCCACGAAGTCCTGCAAAGTCAGCTCCCAAATCTCCCTCCATCACACCGTCCCCTTCTTGCCATCCTCTCTGCCACCGCCCCTGCCCCAGCCTGGCCATCATCCTCCCCCTGGACCACCGCCTCAGCTTCTTCGCTCCTCCTGCCTCCCGCCTCCCACCCATTCTCCACGCGGAAAAGAGGGAACTCTCTGAAACCTGAAAATGGCAGTGTCTTTCCTGACCAAATCCTTCTGCGTCTCCCTGGTCTGTGGCCAGGCCTCATGCCCTCCCACAATAACATTTTAACTTCCCAAGTTATATGCCATAGACTATCATGCAGCATTAGCTGTTCACAGGAAGAATGAGATTTAGTTTTCACACTCTGTAAGGTGTGCATTATGCCCTCATCTCACGAGGAAACTGAGGCACAGAGAGGTCAGCAACCAAAGAGCACACAGAGGAAAGGGCGGAGCAGCCGCTGACGCTGTGGTGCAGGTGCCTGAGGCTTCTCTCAGCGGGGGCAGGGAGCTCTGCTTTCCCAGAGGTGTCCTTCCCGACCACGCAGGCAGTCGGCCCTCTCCTCCCTGAGCTCCATTGGCAGGGTTCTCAGTGGTTCCCCCATCAGATCCCCTTCTGTCCCCAGTATTCCCTGAAAACGAAGGGCACCTCTCATCTCCCGGAGGAGTGAACATCAGTGTTTCAGGAGAGGCTGTGGTTGTTTTGGAAAGGCAAGTCAGTAGCTTTTAAAGGGCAGCGGGGACATTGATAATAAGAGAAATCCCACACCTGGGAATCAGGTGGGTGCAGAAGGACCGCCCCCCTTCCCATGCAGGAGCCTGATGTGACCCAAGCAGCGGCCAAGCTGCTTAGCCCTGAGTGGCAGCGGGCATCAGTGGGCAGAGCCAATCAGAAGATGGAGGTTTTCTGCAGGGTGGGAGGGGACATGTGGCCTAAACAGGAGAAGGGAGAGGAAGAGGAGGAGATGAAATCAGGACAAGACTGATCTGAGCGATTCCAGTTCGAGAGAGCTGTTGGGAGGCCGTGGGACACATCTGTCCTGACCATGGCTTGGCAACCCCTTCTGGGCTCCTCCAGGTTCCTCCAGGTCCAGGCGTGGACTGCAGGACTGGGGACAGTCATGGATTTCCTTCAGATGCCCACAGAGTAGGCATATTCCATCAGGGCAGAATTTTAAACCCACAGGAATCTGGCAATATTTGCTTTGTTTTTGTTCTTAACCATAGAAGTAACTCAGCTTGCTATTTTAAGAAGGCAGAATAAAAACACCGGCAGTGGTTACCAGTTACCAAGAGAATGACAACTGACTCCCTGACCTCTGAGCTGTTGGCAGTAACCTTCACAGGCCTCTGGGTAGCAGCTGCTCTCATCTTCCAGCTCCTGACAGAGCCGGCCCTGCAATCCTCCACCTGTCATCAGGCGGCTTGGCGGCTGTCTACGCTGGCAAGCCTGTGGCTTCGGATCTCTGGGCACCTGTGCGTCTGTACAGCAGTTTGTCCTCTCCCTGTTGGGCCTGGTGCAGATACCGCCTCCCTGGAGGGCTCCAGATAATCTTCCTGGCACGATGGCAAGACCCACGTTCCCCTCATGGAGATCAGGATGGAGTGGGACGAGACTGGCCTCAGCTAACTCAGAGACTGCGGGCAAAGATTCAGCCGCTCTGAGTCTCTGTTTTTGCACCTGTAAAATCAGGATGAGACTGCCTGCCTCACAGGGTGCTGTGACCTTGCAGCCAGACAATGTCAGTCTGACATCAGGAAAGGTTAGTAATGAGTAACCAAGCTGCGATGACTGTGACTTCAGCCAAGAGAAAGAATGAGTAGTCACCAAAGACACACCGCACCACGGGCAGCATCAGAGATGGGGGCCATGGTATGGTACCACCCCTTCCTTTCTTCCTCCCCTCCCTCTCCCCTGTGTCTCCCTTCCCTCTCCCCTCCCCTCCTCTTCTCTCTCTCTCTCTCTCTTTTTCAACAGTCTCACTCTGTCACCCAGGCTGGAGGGTAGTGGCATGATCTTGGCTCACTGCAACCTCTGCCTCCAGGGTTGAAGCAATTCTCCTGCCTCAGCCTCCCGAGTAGCTGGGATTACAGGCACCTGCTACCACACCTGGCTAATTTTGTATTTTTAGTAGAGATGAGGTTTCACCATGTTGGCCAGGCTGGTCTCAAATTCCTGACTTCAGGTGATCCACCCACCTCGGCCTGACAAAGTGCTGGGGTTATAGGTGTGAGCCACTGTGTCCAGCTGGTACTACCCCTTTCGATGCCAGCCTTCTGGGAAGCAGCGTGGAGCTGTCTCGCTGTCACCCTGCACATTCCAACAGTCTCATGATCACTGAGACAGCTCTGGCTCAGGCTGCCACCTCCCAGGCCTGGGCTGTCACCTCCACACTCTACTCAAACATAATTTCAAGCATGACTTCCTCTGTTTAAACGCTGTCCATCACCCCCACTGCCTGAGGACCAAAAGCTTGAACTCTCCAGGGACTGGCATCAGCCAGGCAGCTGTACCCCCTCCCTGTATGTGGCCTGTCCTCTCACACCTCTGAGCTCCCGTCTGCAACGCCATTCCTCAGTCAGTCAGGCTCATCCAGTTCACGTGCTCATCTGGCAGTCAGCATGCACCAGGCATGGGACTAATAAAGCACGTCACACCCTCAGTCACCCCTCACCACAACCTTTAAGATAGAGGAAGAATAAATGGAGAGGCATGGAGACGTCAGCAACTTGCGTGCGGTCACACGGTTTGTGAGAGGCAGAGGAGATTCAAAGCCAGAGGGGTCGGGCTCTCAAGTCCAAATTCGTAACCAGTGCACTACGTGCTTCTCACACATTCTCCATGCTTGTCATCCAGGCTGCAGGGAGAGGTGAGTGAGCAAATCCAGCAAGGTCCTGCCCCAGGGGCGATTTACAGTCAGTCCAGTGGGAGGTCACGACTGACAATTACAAAAGGTCAAGTTTCCACGGCAGTGGCGGGGGGAAGACCAGGAGCTGCGACAGTGCCGGGCGTGCTGATGAAGTGGAGGCAGGAGTTGGCTGAATTCCCTTCATCTTCTTTTTTATTTTTTTTTTTGAGCTGGAGTCTCGCACTGTTGCCTGGGCTGCTGCAACCTCTGCCCCCGGGTTCAAGCGATTCTCCTGCCTCAGCCTCCCGAGTAGCTGGGATTACAGGCGCCCGCCACCATGCCTGGCTAAGTTTTTGTATTTTTAGTAGAGACGGGGTTTCTCTACATTGATCAGGCTGGTCTCAAACTCCCAACCTCAGGTGATCCGCCCGCCTCGGCCTCCCAAAGTGCTGGGATTAAAGGCATAAGCCACCGCGCCCAGCCTGCACATTCTTCCAGGATGTGAAATGTACTCCTCCCCACCTCAACTCATGCTTCTAAGCCCAGCTCAAAGGTCAGGTCTCCTGGTGGTCTGCCCTGACAGCCCCCGCAGGGCCCATTCCTTCCAGCCAAGGCCAATAGCATTTTCCACGGACCACAACTCTAAGCACTGCTTAGTGGAGTGATTAAAATAACTCTGTGTGAGATTTCTTTGTTTCTTCATCTCTCTCTCCCAGGAGGCTGTGAGATCCTTGAGGGTGGGGGTTATAGCTATCTCAGGAATGGTCCAGCTGTCTACCGCAGATGGGACCTGGCCGATGAGAAACCTGCAGTACCTGTTTGCTGATGACTGAATGAATGACACAATAAACCTTTATAACATTGTAAATGAAGTGAAATACCTCCACCCTTCGGCTCTCATTGATCCCTCAGTAGCTATTGTGTGATTGTGTGGAAATCCTAATTTTTCTTCTAACTTCCAGCCCTTTGAATACTTTTAAAAAGTACCGTGTCCCTCCTTAATCTGTCCTCCAACCAACATCCTCAGGACCTGTGACCACTCCGCTTTGGACATGATCTCCAAAGCCTTTACTATTCTGACCGACCCTCTGGACAAAGGCCGGCTATGCTGTCCATCTGGACATGCAGTGTGGGAACCCACACTCCACACACCCCACACTCCCTGTATTTCTATTACTGCACCCAGTGACTACATGAAACCTTTATTCACCCCACCACATGGAGCTGACTCTAACAGTTGTGAAAGGCAGTCCCCCAGCTCACAGCGTTTAGCTTTTCCAGGCCCCCTTGCAGCTAGATGTGGCCCTGTGACTTCTGGCCACTGAGACATAAGTGGAAGTCTCTTGGGGGGCTCCTGGGGAAGATTTCGTTTTCTTGATAACAGACACACCGGCAGCTGGTGACTTCACCTGTGCTTCCTACCATGACAACACAAGCATGCGGATGAAACCGACATGGTAAAGAAGGTTAGGCAGAAATATAGAAGGAGCCATCGCCGAACAAGTTCATTCTAGGTGGACACGATGTTTTCACTCAAAGGGAAACCCAGCAGGTCTCTTTTGGTTCTTTTTTTGTTGCTGCTGTTGTTTTGAGACGGAGTCTTGCTCTGTCGTCCAGGCTGGGGTATAGTGGTGCGATCTCGGCTCACTGTAACCTCTGCCTCACCGGTTCAAGTGATTCTCCTGACTCAGCCTCCAGAGTAGCTAGGATTACAGGCGTCCACCACCACGCCCAGCTATTTGTATGTTTAGTAGAGATGGGATTTCACCGTGTTGGCCAGGCTGGTTTCGAACAACTGACCTCAGGTGATCCGCCTGCCTTGGCCTCTCAAAGTGTTGGGTTTGCAGGCGTGAGCCACTGCGCCTGGCCTCGTTCAGTTCTCAGGGGAATCAGTGAGATGAAACAGTTGGGAGGATGAGATGCAGACACAGACAAATCCTGCCCAGACTCTCCAGCACCTACCACTGTGAGACCCTGGGTGACTCCTCAGCCTCTCTGTGCCTCAGTTCCTCCTTTACAGAATACAGATGACCAAAGCACTCACCTTCCAGGGACGTGTGAGGAGGAGAGTATACATGTCAAGCGCCAAAATAAATGTTATTCTCTACAAGCATATCAAGTACAAAACGAGTAAAAATTTTAAGCACCTCCATAAGAGATTTTAAAATCACAAATATGCAGAAGCCTTTTTTTTTTTTTCAGCGAGCAACTAGTCTTGAGGCCTATTTTCCAAATGAATAACTCTTTCCAGACCCAGCGTGGAAAGTTCCATCCGTCTCCTAATTTCCCGAGCCACCCTTCCTCAAAACCTTGGCTGCCTGTCCCTTGCTATTTTTTTAACCACAAACCACAAGAGAAACCCTAAAATACCTTGTAGAGGGTATTGCTTCCGCAACCCACAATCGTAAAGTCGATGCAACTAACTATAGTTCCTAACAAAGGGAAATGTTAGTGGGATGAAGAAAGGTTTCCTAAAACTCCCCAGGTAAGAGGGAGCGAGGCTGCGAAGGCAGAGGCTTGAAGTGGCTGGCCGAGGTACAGATGGCATTTATTTTCATTCCCCACTTGGGAGTGTAAAAGGCGTTGCTGACAATCTGGGTGGTCAGGGGCGGAGCGGGGTTTGTGTTAGTCAGGGTTCTCTAGAGAAAAGGAACCTGCAGAAAGAAAAAGACACATGCATGCACACACACACACACACACACACGAGAGAGAGAGAGAGAGAGAGAGAGAGAGAGAGAGAGAGACAGGGAGGGAGCGCTTAAGGAATTGGCTTGTGCAATTGTGAAGGCTTAGCCAGTTGAAGATCTGTAGGCCAAGCCAGCGGGCTGGAGATCCAGGGAATAGATGCCGTCTGAGTGCACGGGCAGGGGCAGTCTGCTGGCCAAATACCCTCTTGCTCTGGGGAGGTCAGTCTTTTTCTATTCAGGCCTTCAACTGATTGGATGAGGCCCACCCACGCTATGAAGGGCAATGCGCTTTACGCTGGTCTAGTGATTTAAATGTTAATCTCATGTAAGACATACGTTCACAGAAACATCTAAAGTAATATCTGACCAAATATGTGTCTCCTCTGGTCTAGCCAAGTTGACACGTAAAGTTAACCACTACAGGGTTTATACTGCACCAACACAAACAAGTTCAAACAGCAGACACCTCTGTCTGTCCCTAAATTCTCAGTCTGTCTCAGCCCCTGCGGTCTGGCTGGTTCTTCTCTCCCCCTCCCTCCTCCCCTGGCTCATCCTTCCCTTCGTAACCTTCCCCAGCAGGAGCGAGGCCCAGTGCCCCTCCTCAGGTCTTGCGCAGTGGTTCTCACTGCACTTTGCAGTGCTCTGTCAACTTCCAAGCTTCCCATGTCCCTTGAGGTAGAGACCTGAGGGACACAGCCAGGAAGGGGCGGAGCTGGCACCTGAACCCAGCTCTTCTGATGCGGAGACTAAGCTGTGACCCTATTTCAGGCTGCTTACGTCCCAGAGATCAAAATAAGCTACCTCAGATCACGCCAGGTGGGCTCATGGGGAAACTTAAAGACATTTTTAGAGAGACATACGCAGGACAGGACAAAAAACATGAACATCAAAGCCATGATTACATGGATATAATCACATAGGATGAGGTCGAATTTTAACAGATAAGCCAATGAAAAGAAAAGCCTCTGAAAATCATAATGAAGGTGGGGAGGAGTACCCACAAATCACAAAGCAGCTATGTGAAGGACAGGAGCTTGGAGGACACTGGCCTCGATCAAGATCTCCTTAGGTGTTTTTTCTTTTTTTGTCAGATAGAGTCTTGCTCTGTCACCCAGGCGATCTTGGTGGTGAGATTGTGGCTCACTGCAACCTCTGCCTTCTAGGTTCAAGTGATTCTCCTGACTCAGCCTCCCGAGTAGCTGGGATTGCAGGTGCGGGCCACCATGTCTGACTAATTTTTTGTATGTTTTTGGTAAAGACAGGTTTCACCGTGTTAGCCAGGATGGCCTCAATCTGCTGACCTCATGATCTGCCTGTCTTGGCATCCCAAAGTGCTGGGATTATAGGCATAAGCCACCACAGCTGGCCCTCCAGATCTCCTTAGTAAGGGAGTAAAGAGTTAACCTGTCCTGAATCCCCCTGCTTCTCCTGGGGGGATAGCCCCAGGCTAATTAGGAGACACTGAGGGTTTACTGAGGGTTTTATTTTTTTTAAACCAGAGGGTGGAGGTCTGGAAACTTACTCTTATTTCTTTGAGCTCACTAAGGGAACAAAACCTATTCACCAGTTCTATCCACAGGGGCAGGCCAAGGCCTTAATTTCCAAGTGAGAATCTGCTCCTCCCCACAGCCTGAAACCTGACCTGTCTGGGAATGTGGCTGCCACGCAGCCAGTGACTGCTCATTTGCCAGGGACACAAAGACCATCACAAAGGCTGCACTGGAGTCAGAATCTTGGGCTGGCACTTGGCTTGGCTACTTACTTAGACTGGGTCCCAGGAATGATAACAACAGTGAAGAATCACAACAGCTAGCAATTACAGACACTCCCTGCCTGGCAGGAAGTGCTTTACAACACAACAGCCCCATCTGACAGGTGCTATTATTATCCTCATTGTACAGATGAGGAAACTGAAGAACAGAGAGGTTAAGTAACTTGCTCCAGGTAACAAAGCTGGTGAAGAACGAACCAGGACTCAGACCATTCAGTCTGACTCAAGCTCACCCTGGGCCCTACTAATATGTGTACAGCTGATACAAAGCCTTTTCTAGACAAAGCTCTGTCAACCTCAAGACAGAAACTTGGGGCTCTGATGTGGCTCTTGTACTTAAGGATCAGGAAAGAGAAGCTTCAAGATATCAGGGCTCCTGCAGGCATGCTACTGGGATAAGTACCCTCAAGCATCCCCAGTGTGGGTGCTCGGGTACCCACTTTGAGGGACACTGTGCTCCATCATTCTGCCTCTGGCCAGCTGCTCTGATTCAGAAGTCAGCAAACTATGAACCCACATGCCATATTCAGCCTGTTTTTGTATGGTCCTCAAGCTACAGATGGTCTGTATATTTTTAAATAGTGGGAAGAAACGCTGAAGAAGAAGAAGATTTCACGGTATGTGAAAATTACATGAAATTCAAGTTTCACTGACCATAGCTGTGTTGGAGCGCAGTCACTCTCAATCATTCACCTGTGGTCTCTGGCTGCTTTGTGCTATAATGGCAGAGCTGGGTAACTGCGGCAGAGACCACCTGGCTCACAAACCACAAGTATTTACTATCTGGCCCTCTATAGAAAAAGCTCACTGACCCTGGTCTAGGCCGCTCTGCTGACCAACGCAGGAATGCTCTTTACAGTTGCCCTCCCCACCCCAGCTTCTGCCTTCACAGCTCCCATGGTGGAGAGCTCACTACCAGGCAAGGCAGACAGTTCCATCTTTGCAAGTCTCTAGGGACAGCGACTGACACGGAAACCGAACTGCTTATTCCTGTAACGACGCACTCTGTCCTTGGAGCCTTGCACA